TGACCCGTTTGCCGAATTGGGTGCACCCATTTGTTGAAGTGATGCTAACCCGTTTGTCAAAGTGGTTCTAACCCATTTGCCGAAGCAGTTCATATACTATTATCTGCCAAAGAGGTGCACTAACACAATTTTAGGATTTTGCTAAAGCGACTCATTGCCCAGCCCTAGTGGGTGCTTGTAGAAGTGACAGCTTGCAATTAAACGTCGTCTGCCGTGACGCCATGACTGTCTGGTTGCCATTGTTCATCGTCTGTTCTGTCAGAGTCTGGGTAATCCAAACATTGTTCGGGGCTCTCGTGGCCTAGAGGTTAAGGTGTTGGCCTCTCATTCAAAGGTCCCGGGTTCGAATCCGGGTAGAGACCGAACAATTTTCTTCTCTAAATGTGTCTCCTTTCACCTCTTTTCCTGCTCTCTAGCAATGTTCTGTCGTCTGCTTTCGTCTCCTCTTTCTGCCCCCCTCTCCCTCATCTCATTTGCCCCCCTCCTCTGGGCTCCTGATTCTTTCTACAGCCTTTCTACTGCTACTCCTTGGCTCCTTCTTACTGCTGTCTTTTAGCTACACCCCTAATCTTCGGGTAGGAAAGATCTACACATAGCCTTCTCGGACAAGGGCGAAAGATCTCGGAGGGCCCGTGTGCAAATTGCGCACGTTAAAGATCCATTGGTGGTCTAAAATCGATAACAGTAGGTTTCGGCCGCCACCCGGGCAAAATTCAAAATTTCCTACCTACTGAAAAAGTGTAATGTGTCCCGCGCGCTCATATGACCTAATGCAGTTGCGAGCGCCGTAAAACACTTTACAAAAACAAAACGAAACATTGCTCAAGGTTTAGAGCCTGCACTCCCGTAAAGATTTGCTGTGGGTGGTTGGCGGGTGCTCTTGTTGTGATTTGCTCCTTTCTTTCCTTAGTTAGTTTAATACGAGTTTTACGGCACTTGCAACACAATGAGGTCGTCTAAGTGCCGAAGATTACAGGTGTTATTAGAGAGTAACAAACACACAACAAAAATGAAGGAGGAGAGATGAGGACAATAGATTGATGTTTGATAGGAAAGAAGGAGCAAACCACACCAGAGCACCCGCCAACCACCCACTCCTTCTTTCCTATCAAACATCTATCGTCTTTATCTCTCCTCCTTTTTTGTGTATGTTACTCTCTTGCAACACATCTATTCTTCCGCACTTATATTATGACCTTACTGTGTTGCAAGTGCCCTATAGATCTAGTTATTAGCACCCATAATGGTACCCATCTGTCATTTTTACAGTTGAAATCAAAGTAGTGTGCCACATAAATGTCACCAATTGTTGTTGTTGTTGTTGCTGTTTTTGTTGTGGTTGTTGTTATTATTATTATTATTATTGTTGTTGTTGTTGTTGTTGTTGTTGTTGTTGTTGTTGTTGCTACTGTTACTGCTGTTTTTGCTTTTGCTAACGTTTCCTTGGATCATCATCATCATCATCACCGTCATCATCATCATCATCATCATCATCATCATCATCATCATCATCATCATCATCATCATCATCATCAT